TGCAATTCAAAACCACAATGATATCACCCCACGGCTGTCAGAATGGTTAGTATCAAAAAGACCACAAATAACACATGTTGTTAGGATGTGGAGAAAAGGTAACCCTCCAACACTGTCGTTGGGAACTAAATTGGTGCAGCCACTATGGAGAACAGTATGGAGGTTCCTCAAAAACTAAAAATAGAGCTACCATATGACCCAGCAACTCCACTCCTGGGCATATATCTGAAAAAAACAAAAACACTAATTCAAAAAGATACATGTACCCCAATGTTCATTGCAGCACTGTTTACAATACCCAAGACATGGAAGCAACTTCAGTGTCTGTCGACAGATGAATGAATAAAGAAGATGTGGTGTGTATATACAATAGAATACCACTCAGCCATAAAAAAAGAAAAAAAAATGGAATTCTGCCACTGTGACAACATAGATAGACCTTGAAGTATTATGCTAAGTGAACTAAGATGGAGAAAGATAAAAAATAAAATAAAATACCATATTATTTTACTCACACATGGAATCTAACAAAACAAAATAAATGAACAAACAAAAATAAACTCATAGATACAGAGATTTGTTACCAGAGGGGAGGGGGCTTGGTGGGTGGAGGACATGGGTGAAGGGGATCAGGATCCAGCATATGGTGGTAGATGATAACTAGGCTCATGGTGGTGAGCACTTTGCAGTGTACACAGATGTTGGATTATAATGCTGTACACCTGGAACCTATATAATAAAAAGAAAGAGCTCTAAAAAATCAAGGATTAGAAGATAAAGACTAAAAGTTGGCTGGAAAATAGAACAGATAAAGAGCCAGGCAAGAGGAAAGAAATCTCAGAGTGGGTCTGAGAGGTCCCAATCAGACGATCCAAGACTCTAGAAATAGCAGGCAGGTGAGGAAGCAGGACACCCCCCCCAGATGGACAGTGTCCAGAACATCCCAAACATGGCCCTGAAGGGCTCCTCCCAAGGCTCTGGTCAGGCCAAGGATGAAGGGAGGACCCCAAACATTCCAGAGGCAAATCTCAGCCTGCACACCAAGGACCAGGGGCCAGAGGGCATTAGCTTCCTTACAACACCGAGCACTAGAATAATCTCATCCCTTGTGTGGGGGGAGCAGCGCCTCCCACCTGTAATTCCACATCTCGCAGAAGCCACCAGTGCTGGATGCTACAGCTCAGAGAAGTCCAGAAACCTGCCTGAGGCCACACAGCCAGGGGATGGCAGAGCACAGAGTTGGCACCCACACCTGCTGCCTCCCATCTCTGCCTGGGCCCACAGGCTCCGGGCTGACCCCTGACCTCGGGGAGTGGTCATTTCCTCAAGACCGTGTAGAGAGGCCCAAACCCACCTCCTCCACCCGTGCGCGCTTCTCGGAAGGCTCTGACCCCTCGTCACTTTCGTTTCCCGAATGTTCTTTATCCTCCTCTTCATCCCTAAAAATGTCGTCATAGGCGGGAACTTCAAGGTCATCATCTTGTTTAATGAGCAGTTTGATCTAAGATTAAAACAAAAAGCAATCAATCTCCTCTGTCATTCATGGAAAACTATCCATCACGTTTTCTCTCGCAGTCTTATTTCTCGATTGGCCACAGCGAGCCGCTGGAATCTGCATGCTATTCAGTGCACAGAAACTACGGGAATTTGAAAACTACCTACAGTCATTAAGTTTGGAAAAAAACTTCCTCTTAGGCCACATACTCAGCCAACAAAACGAATGCCTTGTACCTCAGCCTTTGACAGAGGACACGGAGATCGGTGACCTTGAAGCAAGCAAAGCTCCTGTCTCTAAAAGAGGCCCTTCACGTGAGAGTTTCAGGGCTGATGCTTTGTTACTGTGGATGCATGCCCACTGCTGACGGGTCAAAGAGCACGTGTGACAGAGCCATGGCAGGCTCACAGCAGCCTCACACCACTGTCCTGCTGGTCCCCACACCACCCTGGATGGGCAGAGTGCGTCCTAGCCCCATTTATAGGGGAGGTACTTCTGAGGTCCCCCAATATTCAATAAGGCTGGGCTGGCCTGAGCTTGGAGTGCAGACTCAGGGCAGGTTCTGGTCCCTACACCTTCCAGGACAAGCGAATTCCATACACACCCTCTGAGCACCTCCAAGGTTAGGTGCCATGTTTCTCATCAAAGATGGACAAGACCAGGTTCTGTCCTCAGGCTGCTCCAGCTCTTATAGGGGAGGTGGACACGGGCCTTGTCAAGAACACCAGGCATCACATTGTCCGCAGCATAAAAGGGAACAGACAGACGGACAGGAGAACTCAGGGGAGACATGGGCCCCGAAGGCCGGCTTACCTGGGCATCATTGTACACGTTCACGACATTGACTGGCCTGTGAGTGTCACACACGAAAAATACGGTGTCTTCATCGGGTTGAAGGATATCCAACAGGTCCACGTTAGCACCACAGTTTATGAGGATAAAATAGTGGAACTGAGAAAAGGACGGGGACCCTGTGAGTAAGCGCGTGGGGGAGGCCGTTTGTCTTCAGCACTAGGCCCGAGTCCTGCTGAGACACGCAGCCCCTGACGCATGGCGAGGCGCTGACAGTGAGGGGCTCCAAACACGGCCACAGCTGGCCTGTGCAAGTGCTTTAACAACTCCATATACCATTTCATTTCCACCGTGACATTGTGAGGTGGGTTCCATGCCTGTCCTGGCTTCAACGAGGAGCAGGCAGAGGATAAGTGTGCCCGAGTCTCAGGCTTGGGGTCAAGAAGGTGATGTGGATGGACCAAGAGTTCAAATGCATAACTGGGTCTCTTCTGATCTGTCACTCTACTGTGACAAATTGCCTTTCTGTGCTAGTAGCATGGCACAGGATTAAATTTCTATCAAGTCCTAGGTAGGCCACACTTAACAAGCACCTAAATATTAAGTTAACCCTTTAATTACATCCTATCACTATAGAAAACCCTTTCCTTATAAATATTGAACTGGCAGAGGTCCCTCTCATGATGACAGGAGCACCGGGTGAGGACTTATCTCTGCCAGACAGTCCTAGATGTGGCCAGAAACTCTAGGGACCCTCTTCCAGACTCCAGTCTCTCCCTGTGGGGCTGTGGGGTCTCAGATGTCCCATCTCTCATTATAGCTCCATGCAGAGGTGGGAGGAGGCCTGGCCTCTACTGCTTAAATTTCAAAAGGAGACGGTATGTTCCTGAATTTCAAGCTGGAAACCTGGATATGTTTTCTTGGAGAGATAAATATGAAACAGTAGTCTAATCTAAAGTAATTTTTACAAGGCCATATAAAAAACAACCTGCCAAATTCCAAGCACCTTACGATGAAATGTATCTGCAACACAAGTTCAAAGTTAGAGGCTGTCCATATTCACTATCTCTATTTTGTTGTCAATTTTGTCTCCACAATTTGAGGGTAAGTCACCTGGACATATAGCTCACTTTTCTCTTCCGAAGAAAGTCGGTAGTTAGAAATACATGCAAGCTATTGTATACATAGAAAGAATGCTCAGTGTTAAGAAGTTGTAATTGAGTAAAAAAAGCCAAATATTCTCAAATGCATCTCTCATACCTGTTCTTTATGCTCAAGAAATGCAGTTTCAAGTTCTTGCCACCCAGAAACTGGAACCAGCGTATACTGCACGTGGTCACACTGGAACAGGGCCTGGAGAGAGATTTTTTTTCAAAACCTATTGCAGCTAGGATGTCTGCAATCTACCTTGAAATGCACTTAAAAAAAAAAAAAAGATGAGAGACAAACAACACGTGATAACCTAAGGTTAGTGAAATATTTATGTCAGCAAGTAGGTGATGGGGACATGAATGTCCACTGAATCATCTGGTCAACTTTGCTGAAAATCACCAAAGGAAAACTGAAAAGCTGATGGTTTTTCTATGTTTTCTGAGAAGTAGTTCCTGACCCAAGGGCCTCTGACCAAAGCTCATGTAAACCTTGCACCATATTCAAAACCGAACCAACGATCTTCCCTAACAGGCTAAAGAATCGAGTATCTCCAGAATCGCTTATGACACCACTGTGCCCTCGGCTGTCAGATTCCTCCGCTTCAAACCCCACACGTGAGAAGCCGCCACAGGTCTACGGATCTCTCGAATGCAACCATTCTGTGTCCAGGTTGCTACAGAGATACTAACTAGTATCCCTGCCTTTTACCTAGTTCCCCTCTAACCTACCCAACGCCGTCCCGCCAGGGAAGCAGCCTTCTGAGTCCCCGCCCCAGGACGAGCTCTCGTCCGGGATGGGGTCCTCGCCCCGCTCCTCCCCCGCGCCCCCCGCCCGCCCAGCCCGCGGGCCTCACCTGAAGGATCTTGCAAGCGCACAGAGCGTCCACGTCCGAGGCCACGAAAAGAAGGACCCTCTGTCGGGGGAGAGAGGGCTGAGCGCGGCGCCCCGAACCCCGGCCTCTCCCTCCCCCACGGCCGCGGGCCCTCGTCCCTTCCCCCAAGCCTCGGGGCCCAAAGAAGGCTTCACCTGGCTCTGGAGCACCTCGTAGAACTCCTTGCGGAAATCTGACACGAACATGGCTACCGCGGCTAGACACCACCCTAGCTCGCGCAGAAACCCCGCGAGCCCGGCGACGGTCAAGACTCCCGCCAAATCAGCGCTCTTCCGATTGGCCCGGGGGCCAACCAACAGGGACTCCGTTCCCAGCCTTTCCTCCTTTCTGATCGGTCCACGCTGGGGGCGGGCACTAGCGCTCCGCCATTTACGGCTGGAATAGTCCAGCCCGCCCTCAAAGAAGCGTCATCCACGGGCCGGACGCACTCGCGGTTGCGCAATTCAACTCTGACTCCGTTTACTCAGACAACCTACGCTCGGCGGACATCTTTACTTTGGGAAGAGAAGAATACTCCCCCCAACTGGGACCTGTAGGGAAAAGAAACCTTCTCGCCACAAATTGAATTCATGTATACGTCAGACAAGGGCGTCAGTTTAGGATTTCAATGGGCTCTCGACCTAGTTCGAGAGAGGAAGTGTGGCTTACTTCCGCCCGAGTCCTCGATGGCCGCAGCAGAGGCCGGAAGGTCTGCGTGCCTTCTGGGTAGTGTAGGCAGTAAGGGGAGTGGGCCGCACCAAATTCGTCAGGAGGGGGACACTATCAAACTGTAATTTAAAGTAATCACGTAAGGTGCTCTAGAGTGCATACGTTAGGAAGGGGTATCTGAGCGCTTACTCTCCGGGAATTTTGGACCCTCGCGCCTTTGCCTGGCTTGCTTTCGCAGCGGCCTGCGCTCGCGCTCCCCCCGGAAGTGCAGGACCGGACTTCCGGTGGGCTCGGGCGTCCGCGCGAGGCGGCGGCGGCGGCGGCTGCTGTGAGGAGGCGGTGGCGGCTCCCACCGTAACGTTCCCTGACGAAGCGCATCTGCGAGGCGGAGGCGTCCACCATGGTGAGCGGCCGGGCGGGCAGGGCGGGCAGGGCGGGCCGGGGCCGGGGTCGGGGCCGGGCGGACGGACGTGGCGGCCGCGGAGGTGCCGAGTCACCGGCCTGAGCCCGCCGCCGCTCGGGACTGAACGCAGTCTTGCTTGTGTAGACCCTAGATGGCTTCCCGCGAACAAGCCCCGGATCGGCTGGGGGGTTGTAGCGGGAAGGGGAGAGCTCATGGGCCAGTCCCGCGAGCTCGGTCCTGCCGGCCTGCGGCCCTGCACCGCCGCCCTGGGCACCGCGGCCCCGAAACCCCTCATCCTTTGGGCCCCGGCGGCGCCCCCGGAGGGAGGGAGGTGGCCGCCGCGTCGGCGCGAGAACCACGAGGTTTAGGGAGGCGCGTAGTGTAGGCCACAAACGCGGGCAGTGGGGACTTGAAGCCGGGTATGCCTGCAGAGCTGTGTCAGCACCGCGCCGGGCGCTGCCGGTGTCACGGGTTTATCGCATGCGAGGTTATCCTTAGTGTGTCGGTGTCGGGTCCCCTCTCTCTCCTCAGGGTTAGCTACCTAACAGCTGAACACCAGCCGTGTGCCGGGCAGTGTGCTGGCGCCGGGGCTGTAGAGGGAAGTGGGACCGGGGCGGGAGGTTAGGTCCGTGGGTGGATGCGGGGCAGGTTGGCACCCGGTGTTAAGTACTTTGTGTCCATTTCCCTCTTTCGTGTTGCAAAGAGAAGACAGGGCTTAGATGGGGGGGGGATGTAGTGAGGAGGCCCCCACTCCTCTCCCTTCTTTTCGTCCAGAACGATGCTTCTGGCCAAGATTTTGTCGAACAGAATTCTGGTTAAAAGGAGAGGCACGGGTGTGAAAACTACTTTGCTGGCGCTCCAGGGAGTGGAGAACCATTGGAGAGTTTAAGCAGGAGCTGCATCTGCATCTGTGGAAGACAGCTGGCTCAGCTTGCTGATTTTGGAATTGCTAGTAAACTGTCTCATCAGTACCTGATTTTTCCTCTACTTAGTGTACAGTTAGAATCAAGTCAGGAAATACTCGTCTGTTTAAAAGTTTTTTAGCTTGTAAAAAAAACATGTATCATAAATTTACCATTTATAAGTGTACAGTTTAGTGGTGTTAAGTATATTCACGTTGTTGTGTAATGGATGTCCAGAACTTTTTGGTCTTGAAAAACTGAAACTCTCTTCCCATTAAACAATTCCCCCTCCCCCTAGCCCCTGGCAACCACCATACTTTTTGTCTCTGAACTTGACTAGTTACTCTAAGTACCTCATATAAGTGGAATCCTACAGTGTTTGTTCTTCTGTGTCTGTCTTATTTCACTGAGCATTATGTCCTGAGTTATTATTCCACTGAGTTCATCACCGTTGTAGCATGTGTTGGAATTTCCTTCCTTTTTAGGGCTGAACAATATTTCATTGTATGGATGGACATTTTCTTTATTCACTCATTTGGTGATGGGCATTTGGGTAGTTTCCAACTCTTGACTATTGTGAAGAGCGCTGCTGTGAACCTGGGTGTACAAATATACCTTCAAGACCCTACTTCCAATTCTTTTGGGTATACTATTGTGCAATTTTATATCCTTTCTTTTTGACACATCACAGTAGTTGCAGTGCTTTGGGAAGACCCTAGATTGTTGGCAGCATGTGTTCTGAGCCTCATCATAACCTACAACGTAAGAGCTGGGATCTTACTTTTGTGATAGGACCATGTCTAGGCTTTACTTATGAAAGGCATGGAGGGAGTGCTGTGGTGTGGTGCCACGTGAGAGCACTTTGGAGGGGTGCTAGCCCTGGCCCTGGGCAGAGCAGGGAAGGTTCCCAGAGCAAGGAAAGGGTGGTCCTGGAAGCCAGGGGGAGGGGTGCAGACCTGTGCACCTGCTCTTATCACTGTTCCCTGTTTTCTGCCTGCTCCCTCTCCTGGCTTCAGGTCTCTGCAGAGAAGTGCTTCCTGACCACCCACTTAAAACAGCGTTCCCAAGAGCTCTCTTGTGCTCAGAATACTGACACACAGATGGTTTTCTGTTCTTGTTTCCCTTGTCTTGAATGTCAGCTCTGCCGGGGGGCAGAGGTTGTAGCTCTTTTGTTGGTGATGTTTACTTGGTGCTTGGAGACCAGAACCTGGCAGATAGTGGCACTCCTAAACGGAGTGAGGAGAGGAAAAGTGGTCCAGGCCAAGGGAGCAGCCCGGCAGGGTCGTGGCCATCATAGGAGACCTGGGGGACGGGAGACCTGGGGGATGGGGGGCGGGGGGTGAAAGAGGTGAAGGACAGGCTTGCTGGGGGCAGTTTTATACTTTAGTAAGATGCACTGTCTGAATATGGTGGGGAAGAGGTTGCCGGGACAGACTGGACGCGCCAGCTGGCAGAAGCCGCTGTGAGGTGCGTCCTGCTCCCAGGAGGTGCTCACTGGGCGCAGGTTTGTCTTGCTCTTGAGCGTTGACACCCTGACCCACTCTAGCTGTTGACAGAAGAAACGTGCCTTCGTTCTGTGTTAACTGCAGCATCTCTTCCCTCCTTTCAGTTCTCCTTCAACATGTTTGACCACCCGATTCCCCGGGTCTTCCAGAACCGCTTCTCCACGCAGTACCGCTGCTTCTCCGTGTCCATGCTCGCGGGGCCTAATGACAGGTCAGATGTGGAGAAAGGAGGGAAGAGTATGTGCTGTTTTTATTTTGAATCGTAACCTTTCCTGCCCTAGGCCTGCAGTGCTCATAGTCCTTGGCAGCTCTCATTTTGCATGTGTGACGGAGGCTAGTTACCGTCAAGATGTCGTCAAGGTGTCCTGGCTAAGGGGTGCGGGGAGGGGTCCTAATTATGATTAGATTTATGGCTGATAGCCATTTGGTTTCACCAAATAAATTATAGCTAGTAAAACTTGTTGTGAACAATCATGAAATTCCGGCTGCCTCACAGGTATTGTTTAATACTTTCATTAAGCTATAACAGGAAGTGCACTTTGACTTTTGTTCTATTGTTTTAATTTTTCATTTCTTAATATCTCCTAAATGTTCTTTCCACAGTAATTATGCCACCCTCAGCCCTCGACCAACTCAGTAAGTACTTTCTACCTGACTTGAGAACAGAGGTGATGTGAACGTGGGCGCTGGGACCAGGCACAGACCCCTCGCCGCCCAGGCAGAGGCATCTTTCGGCGAGGCTGGTTGGGAATTGTCCCTGGAGGGTGCTAGCTGGGCTGGGAGGCCGGGGCCAGTGGGCGCTCGGCTCTGGGTCCACTCCTCTGGCACCCAAACCCCACCCCGGGTCCTATTAGGACTAAAGGAAGGTGTGAGCACTGGTGCTCTTCACGCTGATGGGGCAGCCGATGTCCTTGGCTGCACGCACTAAATTTTCCCCTAAAGGATGGTGGCGGCCCCCAAGAGGACGCCGCGTGCAGGTCTTTCATCTCCCCAAGCCTCTTGCCTCAGCTACAGCCGCAGTTCTAACCCCTCTTCCCCAGGAGCTGCTCCCCTTGCCCCGTCCTGCCTCTTACCAGGAGCAAGAAAGGCCCAGGGTTGGGAGATTGGCCATGTTTTTCCCCCTTTCCCCAACTCCCCACTCCCATGGGAGCAGCTCGGAGACCTCACACCCCTGGCCCCACTCCACCCGGACTAGGATGCCCCAACCATGGGCACAGTCATTGCCTTTTGAGACTTGGGGGTCTTTTTGGTGTGGGTTCTGAGGCAGGAGATGTGGTGGCTTCTGGGCCGGGAGGGTCCACGCTCTGTGTTGGGTGCACATTGGGCAGCTCGGTAAGGGCCAGGTGCCAGCTCTGGTGTGGCTCCAGCTTGGGCTCTGCACCTTGCCCAGCCTGACTCCAGGCTAGTGACTGGGCCTTTCTGGACCTTGGTGTCCTCACCTTTAAATGGGGGCATGACGCCATCTGTGGGGACTGCTCTGCGGCAGGAGTGCCTCCTGGATGGTACCTGTGGTGTGTGTGTAAACAACCAGGGCCCTGTGGCACCAGGCAGGGGCAGGAGGTGGCCCTTAGCCAGCAGGGCCTAACTGACGGCAGCAGTGGTTGCACCCGCAGAGGGAGGCCTTTAGCTCTGCCAGAGGGTGGGTAGAGCGGGGGG